GACCTGTTTCAGACAATTTATGGTGTGTTTTTCCTTCATTCCCTACATTTTTCCTTGTTTGAACCTTGCTTCCAGGCAAGCGCTGAGCGAAGTGACAGCTGCGCTGCGGGAGCGCCTGCATCGCTGGCAGCAGATAGAGCTGCTCTGCGGCTTCCAGATCGTCAACAACCCGGGCATCCACACTCTGGCATCAGCCCTTAACATTGACCCTAGCTGGATGGGCACCCCGCGGCCTAACCCCTCGCACTTCATCATGACAGATGACGTGGACGATTTGGACGAAGAGATCGTGTCTCCCATGTCCATACAATGTACGTAGTCCGTGTTAGCTGGGCATGGTGAGTCTGCGTCTGCCGGGTGCTGGGTACTGCGACATGGGGCAGACCTCGAACAGTAGTTCAAATGTGTTAGATATCTATGTTAGTTTTTTAATGACCAAAGACAAATTGTTAGTCGTTAAGGGTCAGGAATGTCCGTAAGTGCCAGACCACCACTGCTGGGGTTGCCTGGAGCCTGTTCATTCCAGCAGAACTAGTCATTTGTAGATGTTATTAGTCATCTTTTAGTCATATGTGTGCTATTCTGTCCAACTCCCTGAATTTAAGCATTTACAAAAAAAAATGCAACAAAGGCATGGGCCAGACTCACAAAAGGGAGAAAGGAAAATAAAGTGCATTATCCCGAACTCCGCCTGGCCAGAGCCCGTGTTTGGGATATAAAGGGACTCCTCATGCATGGCTTTGGACTTGCACCTCTTGCCATTCTGTATGGGGAGGAGCAGTCTGCTGTGGTGATGCTGCCTACCTGTAACAACCCATTAAACATTTCCTGGAGCAAAGACTGAAACCCCAGAGCCTCATCTCCTGGGCATGTGTGGTAGTCACCAAGGTGGACATTCTTCCCCTCTTTATCGGTGACTGTTCGTATACAAAGTGCACCGACTCCTGTAGGGAGGAATGGGGCTGCTGGAGAGGGAGGGTGGATGATCCTGCTCTCATGAGCTCAGATCTCTCGGAGGAAGGGCTTGAACTTGGGTCACCCTGTGCCTGTTGCACTCTCAATTGCTGGCCTCTTGGATTAAGTGAAGGCTGTCTCCTTCTCTGCAAAAGGTTTGTGAATCAGGCCCGTGTTCAATTGACCCAGATACAGCCTTGCTTCTCTCACAAATGCGTTTTCCAAGTACGGTTTCCTATCTCTAGCTATTGCACGGGAGAATGGGAGAACTGAAGAGCGATCTGGGTGGCACAGGGTGCAGCACGTGGCTAAAGCACAGCTTTCCAAGCTCCAGCTGGGGGAGAAGAGCCCGTGCTGGCAGCCTTAGCCGCAGCAGTCTTTTTAGTTATGTCTGATTCGGGTCCCTTTTAGGAGGACTTCATCAAAACCAGGTCTGTTTAACTGGGCAGAAGGTGGGGAGAGAAACAGAAGAGTCTTGGGGTTGGCAGTGTGCGCTGCAGGAGATGCCCGTACGTGCCATCGCCATCCCCGCCACACGGTTTTGGGCTCTGGTTAGATGCTGTGAAGGTCTGGAGGCGAGTGCTGAGGTTGGGTTCAGGGCAATGAAGGCAGAGGACTGAGGATTTGGGTAGCCTGCAGGGTGTTAAGGCAGGAGGAATGGCGGTATCGCATGTGTCCAGGGCTCAGCAAACATGGGGTTGGAGCTAGCGGTTTATGGGGTTGGGCGGGTGTAGGGAAAGTTTAAAGCCTCAAACAGATAATGGTGTCCTACTAATCTTTGTGGTTATCAGTTACCATTAGAAACCAAGCTAGGCAGCTCAAATAAAACACTTGCAAAGATGCAAGCTAGGTATTAATGAGAGAGGGATGTCTGAAGAAAACTCCTAAGTAAGACCTGAAGCACGCTCTCCGGAGGACGTGAGCTATACGAGGCGTGAGCCTTCATACGAGATTTTAAGCCTCAGCTTCTTTGTGCCTTGCCTGAGACACCTCGAGTGAGACTTTTGCAGTGAGCACTTACAGTTCCCATCAGTCCGGTGATCGGCAGCGAGCCTGCCTGCCTGCCTCCGTGCCACGGCGCTGATCGGCATCCCTGCGGGTGGTAACTCCGTGTAGCAAGCGCTGGGCACCCAAGTTCCCAAAGCAAGGGAAGGTTTGCTTTTCCCTAGAGGAAAAAAACTGCTTCAGGAGAGAAGTGCAGAGGTTTACCTCCCCAGGCAGGTTGGGGATGTTGCTGACTACCCGTGATGATTCTCCCAGTAAATCGCATTTTTCTCTCTCCTGTTCACACCCGGTTGGCCCATCCCAGACGCAGCCTGGCTTTTCGGGCGCAGGTTCAGTGACCGCTCGTCTCTGTCCTCGGAGGATCAGTCCCTCTGGAAATACCCTGGTTTGGTTCTCTTCAATTATACTTTAATTTTTTGTTCTACCCTCTGCCCTTTTTCTGGACTAAAATACATACACAAATTTTCCAACTTTCTGGCACGGAAAACTAATGAATGTACCTCTCTTCACTCAGTCATCAGCATCTTTACTAACCCCCGGGAAGAGTCTGGTGGGATGAAGAAGAATCACAGTTCGTTGTAGTTCTGATGTGCTCTTGGGTTTCACTTTTTTAAAAAATCCAGTTATGAAATCTGGAGGGTTGTTTTTACTTGTGGAGGTTAAGGATTCAGGCTAGGCCAGGAGGAGGTGATAACGTTCCCTTTCCCATCCCACCTCCTTCTCCGCGCAGGCTTTGCTTGCAGCCCCTCTGCTGCCAGCCAAGGCTGACCTCGATCCCTCCCCGTGGGGGCTGCTGCTGATTGCCGTGCCTTTCTTCCCTCGCTATGCTTAAATAAATGGAGCAATGCCACCTATTATGCTAGTCTGTCCCCCGGACCCCTGACGCTGGGGCCGTGGGGATGGCACGCTCAGCCCCAGAGATGCCGAGCCTTCTGTTTTCGGCTGGAAGCCTTCCCTTTGTGGAGCACTGCCGAGCGCTGGCCGTCGTGGGCTGGAGGAGGACGGGCATCTGCCGCAGCAGGCCATGCGCTGGCGTTCGTTAGGGCTCGCGTGGTGGTGGTGGTCCTCCTCAAGGTGATGGGCAGGTTATTTGGCTAAGGTTGATAAAACATGTGCAGTGTCTGGAGTGAAACGGTGTTTGTGGGAAGCGAGGGTCCGCTGTGGCTGTGTGAGGCGAGGTCTCAGGCTTTGGTCCTGTGCTTCCGGCAGGGTAAATCATGCAAAAGGAGAGCGCAAAGGTGTAAGGTGTCAGGTTGGTAAATGAGGAGTGGAAAACCAGGAAGAAAACCCCACAAAACCAAACCCCTTAGGGGAAAAAAGCATGGCCCAAGAGAAAAAGCAACCTGTAGCAGAAACCCATAATTCCCCCCGTTAATTATTCTGCAGAGCCTGGCTCCCCGTCAGCCCTCCAAAGTGAGACTCCTAACCTGTATCCCCGCCAGCAGCAGGCAGGCAGGGATCGGCTCCTGTCCCTGCTGCCTTGGCAGTGTTGCTGCTGCAGGGGCACCGCGGGGAGCTGGGACAGCCGCCGGTTCTGCCCGCTAACACTCCCCCTCACCTCCTCTCGTCAGGTTTTTGCAGTCCCCACCAGAGCAAGGGGGGTTTTTTTCCACCCTGACTCTGTATAACTTGATTTTACTTAATTTCAGCTCTGGAGCTCTTAAGAGGAAAAAAAAAACTTGAAATGGAAAGTGGATGGTATAAAGAGCTCCAGCGAAAAGTTTGTAGATGGGCACTGTAGTAAAGCAAGAAGTAGCAAACCTGAGCGGTGGGACCCTGCGGGAGAAACTGTGATTAACCTTGGGGATGTGGAAACAGCAAAATTGCCTGAAATATTCTTGCTTGTTCCTTCTTCCACTTGAAATATATCCCAGCAGCGATCCTTCAGTGCCTGAGTTGTTGCTGTCAGATGAGCTGCAGGAGACTCGTGTTTCCTAGCTGTATGTTTTTATAGCAGTGATTTGCTGGTTCTTCGATTCCCGAAGGAGCTCTCCTTCTACTCCATTTCTTAGCTTTCCTGTCTGTTCACCTTTTTTAACCCATTTTTACATTTATTTCTTGTGCATATAAGAAATCCTGAACAGTCCTGAACACCTTATCTCCTGCAAAAGAAGGAACATCTTGTATGGAAATTACAGCTAGTGGATTAAACACAACCAGCCCGGTTGTCTGCAGGATGGCGATGCAGCCCAGTGGATCCGTAGTTTTCCATGTGTAATGCTCTGCCTGATCGAAATGAGTGTGCCGAAACCTCGGTGTGGGTGAAGGTGCCTCCCCCTGCCTCTTTGAAGGCGACCCCCGGCTCCGGTGCGGTCTGTAGGTGTGGTGCAGAGGGAGGGTAGGCTGGGTGCAGAGGGAACTGGCTGAGCTCTCTGGCCTCTGTTACCCGACGGGTGAGACTATGTGGCTGGAAAGATCGTTATGATCTTTAAAAGCAATTAATTAGCTGGTGACGGGGCACTGAAGGAGACAGTCCGATTTGTTTCTCCGAACCAAGATGAATTTACACTTAGAGAAAAATATTTTTCAAATTGAGCATCTCTTTGATCAGTAAGCTAGTCATGAAACAAACGGGGGAACAGATGATCCCACTTTTGGACCAGAGCTATCATTTCAGGTGTGGACTGTGACGAAAGCCTGTGCCTACCCAACTAGTATGATAGCTACGATACATCTGCCACGTGTCCCAGCCGTTCTGCCCTGCAGAAGGGTACCAGGCTGGGAGGTTTCTGAATTTTCATAGGAGCTTTCCTGCTCCTGAACACAAAGCGCAGCTGTACTTGGCAACCCTGCTTTCAGTTTTTTCGCCTTGCTCCAGGAGTTGCGCCGGCACAACGATGCTGGAAGCGGGAGCAGAGCTGAGCTCCGGGAGCAGAGCTCACCTCGCCGGCCTTAGGTGCCTACATCTGAACTGATCACCAGAGGCTCCTTTTTTTTTTTTTTAAATAGTACTACCAAGGCATGAAGCATCCAAACGATTGGGATGTCTGCGTCAGGATGAAATGAATCATGCTCTGAAAGTACCGACTTCTTCACATTTACTATAAAGGGAGCCTGGGTGGTAGCTCTGATGTGAAGTTGGGTAGGATGAATCATGCAGCCAGTTTTTGCTTCAAGCAAGATGATCAGATAAAGTGTTCAGAAAGCACCTATATCAGGAATGTCAAACAGTTTTTCATGGGCTGGGCATTAATCTAGCATGTTAAGCAGTAGCACCAGCTTAACGCTTCTTCTGCATTAAACCAGTGTAACTTATAGCACAAGGTGGGATGGCTGCAGTGGCCCGAGCCAGTGGCCCGGTGACAGAAGGCATGGTGCTGCGGTGCGTAGCCCTGGCCATGGGTGGCAGCTCTATCGCGGTGCCTCCTCACCGATTTGATGTGCAGTCTCTTTCCAACTGCCTTCAGCGTTCTCCCCTTTCTCTCATTACAGCTCCTGCCTTGCCCAGCACAGTTCGCCAGCGCCTGGTGGACCCACAGCACGCCCACGGATCTCAGAGGTTGGTAGAGAGTTACGTGCAAGGCCAGAATGAGTCGGGCCAACCTGCCCATTACCGGGCAGGCAGAGTCTCTCTCCGTCGAATGCACAGCCTCTCCTCTGGACAGTCTTTCAGTTCCGACCTTCCCGGCACCAGCCCATCATCTGCTGCCACCACCTCCTCTTCCACCTCTTGCTCCTCATCCACCACCACTGCATCTGCTCCTGCTTGCCATGTCCACCCTCTCTATTACCATCACACCACCTCCTCTTATTTCCTTCAGATGGACTCCATCCCCGATCTACCCCCTCCTGATGTCACCTCTGGAGTTCGCTGTCGCACTGAGAGCTTTGGGTATATCGCTGTTTCTTTTCTAGCTCCCTCTTGCCTGCTGTGTCTCAGAGCTGATGCTTGCTCGGGTGCTCTTTCTCCTAGATTCCTTTTGCCCTTTCCTTTTGGGCCTTTATTTCATGATTTATCCACATGTTTGTTTCTTCAACCACCCTCCTGTGCCAGTGGACCCTCCCAGGAGTGCTCCATGGTCCATTCCCATATCTGCGAACTCAGTGGGTGCATAAACCAAGGAGATGCTGTTGTTTAACTGTAGCTAAGCAAATGAGAATTCCTGGGCACTCGGTTATTGCTAAGTAAGTCAGACTTTCACTTGGGTGATGCACCTGTGAGAACAAAGGTAACACAACTAATCAAACAAACACTGACCTTATTTGAAGCCTTGACTTATTTGGGGTCTTCACAAGCGAATTGCAAAGGAAACATGACGGGCAGATGCTGTGAGATAGATAGTAGTTGGTGCTGCTGGAGGGTTTGAAATTTGTGCTGTTTTTAAGATGCGGCAAAAAGCAGCATTCAGGAATTTTGTGTTTCAGAGTGATTCTCTGCCTCAGTTTTGGTAGAGGATGAGGCATGGTTGTGTTTTGGCTGAGGAACGTCTGAATAATGAGGAGGGAGCTGGAGCTTCTTATTGCTGGATTGCTGGCTTTAACTTGGTCCCCTTCAGTAGTAACAGCCAGCAAGCGATAGCTCTTTGCAGACCTGCTATGATAGGATCCAAGGGACTGGTTATCATCCACATCCCTAAATCCCTGACCTCTCCTGATTCACCACACTGGCGTTAGAGAGGCAAGCGACTGGGTGGACCATAGATGCGGGAATCCTGTCTGGTCTAACTGGGGTGCTGCGAGGGGGCCGCTGGCAGCCATCCCAAGTTCAGAAATGTTCTGTACCCCAAGCAGAGGATTGCGTTCCTTGGGCAGCCTTGGTTGGCTTTCTTCTGAACGAGGTCCACGGGCAGCGGTCGCTGGAGGTTCTCAACCCACGTGGGTCATGGATGCACCCAGCTCCAGATTGATGGTTGAGCCTGCGTCTGTTCAGATGCTTGATTTAAACCCTTGGCTAAGGGGTGAGGGGGTGTGTGGTTTGCGTGGTCTCTCATTCAGGGGTGTTGCAGGCACTCGGTGCGGAGGTGTCGGCGCTGAGGCAGAGGGTGGAAGGGCTGCGATGGGCCCTCGGGAGTCCCGTCCTCCTGCCCTGCCGGGGAGCTGCCTGTGACCCTGGCCAAGTCATTTCATCTCTCTGTTCTGCGCTTTCTCCTTGGTAGAATTAAAAATAGTCTCCTTATCCTCAGTGTTAGGGAACAGACTTCTGGGAAAAGGCTGAAAGTCTCTCAGTGAGCAAGTCGATAGGGGCAATGTCCTTTCACATTTATTTATCCAGGCGGGACAGCATTCCAAGTCACTACATCTTCATTCGTCCCAGCACGTTGTACCATTATTCCTTTATCTGTAGGTACCTCTGCCCTTAGGCGTAGGTTCTCTCCTGACATCATTTACACAGTCTCTGTTTTGGATGTCTCACCCCTTCGCTAACTTGTGTGTCCGAAAGCCAGGCTGGCTGCGAGCTGCCTGCGAGCTGCCTGCTGGACCAGAGCATCCCGCAGCCCGGGCTGCGAGAAGCAGCGCCTGTAAAGCCCTGAGCAGCCTCGGGCAGATTATGGATTCTGGAGTACCGAGGGGGAGATTACCGCACCTGCTTCACAATGGACAATTAAAGAGCAACATCTTGGTTAATTTAGTAATGTTTGTTTTGGGATTACAAGAAGCAGCATAATTAAAGTGTAGATTAATTACCGCCAATTTGAGTTCAGCTGCAGCTGTCCCCATTTGACTCATAAGAGCTGGGAATGCTTCTGGTAACGTCGCACATTCCCTGTTTACCATCGACCTTCCTGTCTCTGTAGAAAGGAGGGCTTGTCCCGGGAGCTCGAAGGCTGATGTACTGTTTCAAAAATAGCCGTATAAACATGATTTTTTTTTTTCAGCTGAGGCCTGTGATACACTTAATTGCTGACCAGGTTAAAGTCTCAATCCTGCAGACTCCCCTGAGAGTGGCAGAGGGAAATGTGGTGTGACTTTGGGATCCCGATTAGAAAAGGCAATGGTGCTGAGAGGTCATTAGGAGAGAATAACTGGGGTCTTCTCCTTATTCCCCACGGGCACTTAGTAGCTCATCAGAACCTAACCGGTCACCCTTCAGTGGAAGGTAGGACTGTTTTCTCCCTGTTCTCATAGCAAAGACCACCTGTTGATGCAGGATAATGAATTTAGCAATGGAGTTTTGCAGAGTAAGAACTTTTCGCTTGAGATTTGCTTCAGCTACACAATAGCAGACAACTCCAAAATCCATGCTCATCCATTCTCTGTTCATTTCAGAAAACAGAAATGAAGAACTGGCTGCCCAAATGTGCTCTTATTTTGTTGCTTTTAATTTTTTGTCAAACTGCATCATTAGCAGATCCTGCTTAGATGCACCTCTAAAAATACTGCCGCAAAGGCATGTCACAGCACAAGCCAATGTATTGCTCTTTCTCTTTTATATAACCAGCCCTGGAGGCCTTTACATACATCCCTCGAGCTCCACAGCCTCCCAAAGAGGCAACCAGAACAGATGGGGAAGCTGAGGCTGAGAAAGGCCTTCCAGGGAGTCATTGCCAAGGACGAAAATGGAACCCCCAAAATTCCTGGCTCCCTTGGTAGGAGGAGAGTGCTACCTTGAGTGCCTTGGGCTGCTGGATCGCTGTAGCCTCTCTCGTATCCAGCAGATGCCAATGTTGGCGAGACCTCACAGGAGAAATCATCTCAAACAAGCCGTTCCCCCAGAGAAAGGCTCGGGGATCACTTCTCTCCGGGCAAGCTGTATACGGTGCTAAAGTCTGCTGGGGGTTAACCTGGTAGGGACCTTCTCTCCAGGCAAGGCCAGCGCGTGGCCGGTGAATTGCTTTCATGAACTCCTCACTGTTTGCTTCTCTTTTGCAATTGGCTTCAGAGGATCCGGTGCAAATAAGGTCAGAGCTGTTCTGATTTTGAAGGCTGATGTGTGTTTTTTAATGTTAATGAAGGGGACTGGGTGTTCTGGGGCGGGAGAGGGGCTGGAGGGTGCTGTGTGCACAGAGGTTTCTGCTGCCAGTGCCTGCTTCAAGTGGTACCCGTGGATAAAGCTGATGGAGATGGGAGCGTAGGACCAAGTCCCCACGCTGGTGCCCTTTTTCCAGTGGGGAAGGGAGGTGGCAGCCAAAGCTAAAAGAGAGCATGGGTAATTCACAGCTCTTAGAGAATGGAAGGGAGGAAATTACGGTTGGATTTGCCTTGTAGAGGCTCTTTTTAAGCCTCTGACTGTGCCGCGCTGAGCACAGCAGAATAACGGAGCCGTACAGCAAATTTACTTCGGTCCCCGAGGAAGCCTTTGCTGCCTTGGTGCCACGTGCTAGCTGGGTATAGAATGTATGGCCTTGCAGCTGAGGGTGCTCCTGGTAAAAGGCACGGAGGGGCAGAGGCAGCAAGGTCCGTATGAGGCTGGTAGGTCAAGCCCTGCTCTGTCAAGCGCCCTTGAGCCACTCCTAAGCTTTCCTACAGGCTGTGTCCTGGGTGGTACGGGCAGCAGGAGCCCACCAGGAGAAAGCATTCAATGGGCTGCAGAGTTGAGGAAAAATAAATATTTATTCTATATTATCCTCCTGCCCTCTCCCCTCTTTCTCCACCACTACCAGTCTTTCTTTACTCCATGCTTTGCTCTCTGCTTCTTTTGTTTGCAAAGTCAGTCCATTCCCATTTTCTCGCCCTCTCTCATTCACCACGGTCAGTTCGGATTCTTGAAGCGGCACGGTTGGAAGCGCAGGTGAAAGCAGATAAAACAGCAGCAACGCATGTGTCCTGCCTTCACATAGGCGAATGCCGTCGGCTTCGGTCTTCCTAGATTGTAAGTGCGCCCAACTACATCGAAAAGAAAGCAGTGAACACTGCGGCAGTGCGGCTGGGGTTTTTTTCTTAAATGAGGCGCCCGGGTATTTTCATGTTCAGTTGGTGGTCTGAGGTTTTCAGGAGGGATGAGCATTCGGTAGTTCCTGCTGCACCACAGAAGCGCTGTCTCTGAAGGCAGCTTCCCGTGATGCCATCGAGGCCGGCTGTGTCCTGGGCCAGCATTTCCTCTTGAAAATGTGCCATACTGATTGAGGAGCATAAGCCTCAGGAAAATTAGCAGCATATAGGCCAGCCTTTTTTGACTGAGCCTCGCCCAAGATAACCAGCAATATCCTGGCAAAATTCTTTCCTCCTGTATTGTCCCAGCACTGAGCTCAGCAGCGTCCCCTCCTCCTTGCCCTCTCCGACAAAGCCAGCGTGCATCCCCATGGATGCACACCTCCCCTGTCATGTGCTTACTTGTGGGAACCGCCGGAAAGGATCATTTTGAGCTGTGGAAAGCCCCAGCAGAAGTTTCCAGCTGCTGGTGTTCAGTTCTGAAAATCAGTCCATGCCCATGGGTGCCCAGCGGGGATGCAGGAGGTCCCTCTCTGCGTGTGCCTGAATGTCCTGGTCCGTCGGCTGTCGGGGTGGGTTAACGGCCCAGCCGGCCCCTTGGGTCGTCCCCGGCGTGGTGAGGGTGAGTGCTCTGCCGTGG